TTTCTTCATAGAGTATACTGTATTTAAAAGCTTAGTCTGTCAACAAGTAATCATGAGTTTTTATGTAGGGTGACTTTCTTTTGGGTAGGAGTCCGGGAGAATCCTGTTTTCCTTCCCCAGTAAATCTGATTATCTTATATTCCTGTTAAAATGATACACTGTTTGTATACATGAATTTATAGTATACACACATTCACATATGGAGAGTAGTAAAGGTTCTGTGAACATCTATTCGTGTGGGTATGTGGGTACTTAGATTTTATTTTTTAATTTCTAGATTAAATATTGGATTGTTTTCTATATATTGTTAGTAAACTACATTTTCATTTGACAGCAAATTGGAAACATCATTTCACATTAGTATAAATTAAAATATACATTGACATTTGCAAGGAATGCATAGATTCCAATGTATATAACATAACCAAAAAGCAAAAAACCCCACTGCCGTTGAGTTGATTCCAACTCACAGTGACCCTGTAGGACAGAGTAGAACTGCCGGCTCCCTAATACTGGGCATTTAAAGAGTCCCTGGGTGGCGCAGATGGTTAAGTGCTTGACTACTAGCCAAAAAGATGGCAGTTCAAACCCACCTGTAGGCACTTTGGAAGACAGGCCTGGCAATCTGCTTCTGAAAGGTCACAGGTTTCAAAACCCTGAGGAGCAGTTCTACTTTGTACACGTGGGGTTGCTGTGAGTCAGAATCAACGGGAGGGCAACTAACAACAACAACAAGAATAATATTGGATGTTTAAATTGCTTCCAGTTTTTTAATATTATAAACAATGTTGCATTAAGCTGTGTAAATGGATCTTTGTGCACTTGTCTAATTATGTCCTTAGGATAAATCCTAAACAGTGGAATTACTGATTCAAAGACTATTCTGTAATTTTAAGGTTTTTGATATGTGTTGCTAAATAAATTGCCCTCCGAAAAGTTAAATCAATTTATGCTACAACAGCAGTGTTCAGGAGGGTTCATTTCTCTACACCCTCACTGACACTGGGTATTAAAATTAATAATTAACCCTTTTTTTCCCCAACTTTAATTTTGAAAAACTTAAAAATTCAGAAAGATTGTAAAAACAGTACAATGAACACCAATATACCCTTCATCTAGATTCACTAAATGCTAACATTTTATAACATGTTTTCTCTTTTTTCCTGAACTCTTTGAAAGTAAAATAATTTATTCTTAATTTGATGCATTCCATGGCATTCAACCCTAAATCCAGTAATCTACTGGATGCATGGGATTACTTGTACATATATCACAGCCCACAGATTTACTTACAGTAGGTGGCTAAACTTGGAGCAAAGGAGAGTTCACTTTTTAATGGCATCATGGAGGTATTATGGTTTTTGTTTAAACTTTAATCAGTGTATTCTTTTGCTAAACATAGTGACTAAATATAAATTATAAATGTCTGGGGAAAAACGTAAGGAACATCGCTTATTTCTACATGAAAATAATGGTGATTCAAATATTTCATTCAGATTTACCACTGCCTAAGGAGAAAAATGGTACAGAACTTGATTCTCCACCTGCAAAGAAAAAAAGAATAGGTTTTTTCCAGGCTTATGATGCAGAATATTTAAAAGCTGGCTTTATTATCTGCCCTGGATCAAAAGAAAGTTCACCGAGGCCACAGTGTGTCATTTGTGGAGAAATCTTATCCAGTGAAAACATGAAGCCAGCAAATCTCTCTCATCATTTGAAGACAAAACATTCAGAATTAGAAAACAAACCAGTAGATTTTTTTGAACAAAAATCTCTTGAAATGGAATGTCAAAACAGTTCTTTTAAAAAGTGTTTACTAGTTGAAAAGTCACTTGTGAAAGCTTCTTATTTAATTGCTTTCCAAATTGCTGCCAGCAAGAAGCCATTTTCCATTGCTGAAGAATTAATTAAACCATATTTGGTAGAAATGTGTTCAGAAGTTTTGGGTTCAAGTGCTGGAGACAAAATGAAAACCATCCCTCTTTCTAATAATACGATTGGACACAGGATCGAGGAGCTATCTGCAGACATCGAAGAGCAGCTGATTCAAAAAGTCAGAGAGTCAAAATGGTTTGCCCTTCAGATAGATGAGACATCAGAAATCTCAAATATCACTCTTCTTTTGTGCTATATTCGTTTCATTGATTATGATTGTAGTGATATAAAAGAAGAACTACTGTGTTGCATCGAAATGGCTTCTCAAATAACTGGTTTTGAAATATTTGAACTAATAAATAAATATATTGATAGTAAATCTCTGAATTGGAAACATTGTGTTGGTCTCTGTACAGATGGGGCAGCAAGCATGACTGGCAGGTGTTCTGGTTTAAGGGCAAAAATTGAAGAAGTTGCCATGAATACAGTGGCATTTACACATTGTTTTATTCACCGTGAACATTTAGCAGCAGAAAAGTTGTCTCCATATTTACATGAAATTCTTTTGCAGTCAGCACAAATTTTAAGTTTTATCAAGAGCAATGCATTAAATTCACGTATGTTAACAATTTTGTGTGAAGAGATGGGGTGTGAGCATGTGAATTTACCAGTTCATGCTGAAGTACGTTGGATATCAAGAGGGAGGATTTTAACAAGATTATTTGAATTACGACGTGAAATTGAAATGTTCTTAACTCAAAAACATTCAGATTTGGCTAAGTGTTTTCGTGATGAGGAATGGGTTGCAAAGCTGGCCTATTTATCAGATATATTTTCACTTATAAATGAATTAAATTCAAGTCTCCAAGGCACTATGACTACTCTCTTCAGTTTGTATAATAAAATTGATACATTTAAGAAAAAGTTGAAAATGTGGTTGAAGCGCACACAAGAGAGTGATTATGACATGTTCCCTTCATTTTCTGAATTCTCAAACTCATCAGACTTAAATATGAGAAGCATCACAAGCATTATTTTTGAGCACCTGGAAGGACTTTCTAAAATGTTCAATGACTATTACCCACCAGAAGAAGACTTGCGTTCAGGAAATTTATGGATAACCAATCCTTTTATGAATCACCAAAATAGTAATCTCACCGACTTCGAAGAAGAAAAGTTAACACAGTTATCATCAGATTTAGAATTGCAATCAATATTTAAATCAATGTCTGTAACTCAGTTTTGGATAAATGCTAAGACAAGTTACCCAGAACTCCATGAAAAGGCAATGAAATCTTTATTACCTTTTTCAACTATTTATTTATGTGACACTACATTTTCAGCCTTGACTGAGTTAAAACAAAGAAATCTGTTGGTTTCTGGCCCAGCCCTAAGACTTGCAGTCACATCTTTAATACCAAGGATAGAAAAATTAGTAAAGGAGAAAGAATAGCAACATGTATATTATCATCAAAGTCTATAATTTTGTGTTAAATTTTGTATATATATATCCTAAAATATAATTTCCTATTGTGGATTTGTGTTTTCAGTGATTAAATGTTTTAATAATTTTTTCTTTTTGTTGAGGAATTTAATAACTATGCATTTATACATAATAGTCCTAGGTAGAGAATTTAGTTATTTTATCAACTGATCGAATAGTTTGGATTAGTGACAAAGATTGCAGGTAATGAATTACATTTACAATGTATAGCATAACCTGGATGTGAAAACAATTTGTCCTTTAGAGCACCTGGGATAGTTCATTCTTCAGCCAGCAGGCTGTAGGTAGGTGGAAGTAAAAGACTGAAGCAGCAGGGGAGTTTGAGGCCTCCTTTTGGGGCTTCCGTGGCCTACTACGGAGCCCTGGTGGTGCAGTGGTTAAGAGCTCAGCTGTTAACCAAAAGGTTGGCAGTTCGAATCCACCAGCTGCTCCTTGGAAACCCTGTGGCACAGTTCTCCTCTGTCCTGTAGGGTTGCTATAAGTTGGAATCGACTCGACAGCGGCGGGTCTGGTTGCCCACTAGACCAGGGCTTGGCAAACTGTTTTCATAAAGGGCCAGATAGTAAATATTTTAAGCTTTGCAGGCCATACTGTTGTAACTACTCAAGTATGGTTGCAGCGCAAAAGCAGCCATAGACAGTACACAACAGATTGTGGCTGTGTTCCATTTAAACTTATTTATGAACACTGAAATATGAATTTCATATAATTTTCATGTGTCATGAAATCTTTAATTTCCTTAATCATTAAATGTAAAAAAGAAAAAAAAACACACTAGCTTGTGGAAAGGTGGGGGTGGGGAGGTGGGGGTGGTAATAAAAACCAGATGGCTAACTGAATTTGAGCCGTAGTTTGCCCACCCCAGCTATAGACAGATGCCTAGGTAAGAGCAGATGGGGGGGGATTTGTGCAGTGAAAGCCTCTTTCCTTGACTGGAAGTATCTGAATATTTCAAATACCTTTCAAATTGTAATTTCAGCTGAGAGAAAGGGAAAAGATATTTCAGGCAGAAAAGAGCAACTATTTTATAATTACTAATTGATTTACTACTACTAATTTTATAAATTAATTTTCTAGTTTAAAAATAACTTTCTGAGTTCTTACAATGTGCCTGCCAGGCCCTGTGCTAGGCTTGTTACAGACTGTCTTAGAAGAAGTCATGAGGCGTCATGTCCATTTGTAGATGCAGATACTGAGGCCAACTGCTGTTAGGTGTCATTCCAGATATCACAGCGAGTGTGGCACAGGCAGGAACGAAGCCCAGGGGCTCTTCTGCGAGCCAGATCCAGATACTCATGTTTGACACCACTTCTTGTCGGCTGGGAGTCACAGAGACACCTTCAAAGAGACCGGTTTAGTCAGTTACGCGGTACTGGCCCTCAGTGTCCTCATCTGTGAAATGGGGATGATCTGCCCAAACTCCCTCGCTTCCCGAACCCGGTTCTGGGCTAAAAAGAGGGTGACGACACCCCCTGGAAGGCGAGGAAAACGCAGGCTCTGGGTGCGGGTCTTCCGGCCGCCTGGGGGAGAGAGGAAATGACCCGGCGCCAGGGGGCGGGTTTTCGGCGGTGCCAACCCTCGGCCGGGAGAGCTCCACGCTTCCCGGAGGTCGTGCGCGGCCATGGCGCTTCTGCTCGCTACTCTGCGCGTCCTGCTGGGAGGCTTCTTCGTGCTCACGGGGGCTGCCAAGCTCTCGGAACAGATCTCGGCTCCGGTGTCGGAGCAGATGGTGAGCGGCGTGGCGTGGGCGGGCGGGCGTGTGGGGGATCGGGCCCGCCGGGCGGCGTGTGCCGCGGTCTTCGGCCGTTACTCCGGCTACGGACGCGCCCTGCCCGCCCCTGCTCCCCGCGGACCCGCCTTCCTTCGGGCGAGACTGCACTAAAGCTGGGGGAATAGAACCTGGACCTCAACCGAGGCGTGGGCCCTACCTGGGGAGTTTCTCCGAGTTTTCTGGATCTTCCGGAGACAGACGGGAACGTCCCCTTCCGGCTGAGCATTGGAGGGCCCAGGCAAACTTAGAGCCCGAGGAAGAATGCCCGGGACCCTGGGGGAAGAAGATGGAGGGAATGGAAAAGTGACCGAGCTCCCTACCCGCCCGCCCCTTTCATCGTTCGCTTGAGTTCTTGGGTAGTTCGCAAGGCAGGGGCTTATTAGCCTCACTTTGCAAAGTAAGAAACTTGCCCCTAAGGGGACGTGATCTGCTAAAGGTTGCACAGCTAGTCAGGAGGCTAAAACTAGACACTCTCCTGACTTAGAATCTATAATTCTTTCCTTGGCGCCTAGAAGTTGCCTTGTCTACCTCTTGTCTACTTCCACATTCGTGGGAAATTCAGGGAAGCCAGACTTGGAGATTCCTGCCAGCCTCCCTCTCCCAGGCCTGGATACTCGCCTCCCTGCCTGGCTTAGGGTAGTGGGTTGTTTGGGGAAGTACATCCTCAGAGCGAGATAGCTTAGAGTTTCTTCCTTGGCAGCACCGAGCAGGGAAGGCAGAGCTGAGGTGGGGAAGCAGGTAAAGGTAGCCACCCAGAGGGCAGGAGTAAAGTTGTCATTTGGCCCAGGACAGAGCCTGACTCAGCAGGAGGAGACACTTTGAGCCCCCTCAACATCCTTTGTGGCTGCTGCAGTGAGATCCAGAACCCAGCATAGGAGATTCGGGGTGGAATCTGTTTAATCAGCAACAATCTGCCCTTCCACCCTCTCCCCAGCCCAAAATAGAGAAACCAGGCCAGGCACAAAGAAAGAAGCTGTGGAGTTCCCAAGGTCTTGGCACTGGATGGGAAGGCCTAAGCCCACCCAGCTCCCTTCTCCTAGGATTCAGGGCTCTTGTAACCTGGTAGGAGGTCTGATGAGAAAATCAGTCCTGCACCACCACCCAGCTGTTCTAACTTGGAGCATAAAGCCTGTTTCCTGATTCCAAAGCTCAGCCCCACATGGAAGTCCTCTCCTCCCCAGGCTGACGTCAGCCCTCGACCTGACCTAGACTAGCTCCTTTGTGGGGGAAGTTGAGGGTGCAGGCAGAAAATGCCCCTGCAGAGCGCTTGGGCAGTGGGTTCTTGATGAGCGTGGCTAATGGGTAATCCCTGCTGCCCCTAGAAAGCCCTGTTCGTGCAGTTTGCTGAGGTGTTCCCGTTGAAGGTGTTCGGCTATCAGCCAGATCCCATGAGCTACCAAGCGACTGTGGGCTGGCTGGAACTGCTGGCTGGGTTGCTGCTGGTCCTGGGCTCACCGATCCTGCAAGAGATCAGTAACTTGCTTTTGACCCTGCTCATGATCGGTAAGGGGGGCCCACTGGGCTGGGGGAATGGAACTTATAGGGGAGGATGATGGAGAGACCTGGCCGTTCCCCCCTTACTGTTGCCAGCCCTCCTTTCCTGGGACCAGGAGCACTTCCTACTCTACTGTGATTGCCGTAGTCTTCAGGCCAGGACAGGTGCCTTTTAAACTTAATATAACACCATTCTATGTCAACTATACCTTCTACCTCATCAATTCTAATGGCTACATAGTATTCTGTTGTAAAGATGTAATCTCAGAGCCTCCAAACTCCTTCACCCCCTAGCTCCTGGAATGAGGGGATGGAGTAGCAGCTGCCATTTGACTTATGTGTCTGGCAGGTGGGGGCAGAGAACAGGGAATCTAGGGTCCCTAAACAGAGTTACCCTGGGGCAGGCAGTCTTAGAAGGCCCCCCTCATGGATGCTGTGCCTATAGGAATTGCTGACTTACAAAGACAGCTGCTGCTTAAAAGGCCAGACATCTTTAGACTCTTCTACTGTATCCCTTGACCTTGTGTCACCATTGCTGCCTCCACCAGGCTTTCTTTCCATCTCTGGAGCTTCCCTTATTTCCAGATCTGTCCCACACCTCCACTACCAACCCCTAGGCCTCCTCCTCTTTAGTAAATGTATGATTAAGCCCCTGCCCTATTGACTGGATTGTTCCTGCTTCTTTCCTTCCTGCTGAGTGAGGCTACTAATTCCTGGTCTAGCTCTCTCTGGCAGTCCAGAGTGATGAGTGTGGCTGGTTTGCAGGGTGTGATTAGTGGGAGAGCTTGGGCTGGAGTGGGTCAGTCTGGGCTGCAGAGACCTGAGCTCCTGGGTGTTCCCAGGGAGCCTCAAGGACCTTTCCATTCCAGGGGCTATCTTCACTTTGGTGTCTCTGAATGAGTCACTGAGCACCTACATTCCTGCCATTGTCTGCTTAAGCCTCCTGATACTGCTGGATACCTGTCACTTTGCAGCCCAAACTCAGGACGGGCCAGACCCACAAGGAGGAAGACTCCAAGTACATTCAAGGAATCCTGAAAGTAGAAGGTCTCTGCCTTTTGGCACCATGCCGCTGTCACAGCAGGAACACAGTGGAGCACACAGACTCTACCACCCTGTTATTAGAACACCCCGGGCCATCCAGTGCTGAAACAAACATCTTCCTATCTGGCCGTGCTTTCTCTCTCTTTAACTTTTACTGCTCTTTTTCAGGAGTACATGTTATACATAATAGCATTCCTCATGTCATGTAAAAATAGAAAATAAGCAAAAAAGAAATTTAAATCACCCAAACTTTGAATGCCCCCTCAAACAACCACTTTTAATTTGTTAGTGTTGCTATACCTCTCCCCTTTTTTCTATGCCTTGATACAGTTTTTTCTTTTTAATGAAAATGAGACAATATATACTGTTTCATTACATGCTTTTTTTTTTTTAAAATATTAACACCGTTCTACCTCATCAATTCAATTCTACCTCATCACTTCTAATGGCTCCATAGTATGCCATTGTAAGTATGTACTATAATGTATACTCATTCCCTGACTGAGGAACATTTAGATTGTTGCCAATTTTTTGGTATTGTAAACCTCACAGTAAATCACCTTTGCGTATTAACTGATTTTTTTTCCCAGAAGTGAGAGTGCTGGGCATGCACGTTTTAAAGGTGTTTAACATACATTTAAATTTTACGTGTTGAGTACAAGAAGTCCCTGGGTTCCTAACGAGATCCATTCCTAAGGCTGTCTTTAAGTCCAATTTGTAGGTTAGTCAGAACAGGTACATATGGTTCTTATTTAGCATCAGTCAAATGTTTGTCTCAGGGCTTTGAACTGCTCCGGTTCAGCCCAGGGCCAATGAAACTAATCAAAACAGACACAAATTTTTACAGTTTGGGTGATTCAGAACAATAACTGGAATGGGGAAAATTACGGGTCAAAACCCTGGAATGGGAGACTCGGAAAATAGGTAGTGAGCCCTTTCAGGAACCCGACGTGAGACTGGATTATTGACAGGACTATGGAGAGTGACACACATTGAAAGTGGCGTGGTCAGCCGCCATCTTTGAGCAGTGCACAGCTGTTTCAGACTCTGCTCTAAATCCCAATGGGCAAGAGAGTTGGTTGCTATGCAACACGTACACTGTTGCTGTTTTCTAAGAGGGAGATTAGGTTTCTAGCAGAGCTTCAACCTGTACTTTTTTCCGTTCAGTTATTGTTCCTGTTCATCCAAATTTTAAAAATTTGAGTCTGTTCCGATTTCGTGTTCTCCGCCATCCCAGGAACATCTGGTTTGTCTTAGCACATAGTATATATTTTACATTTCTATGCATATAAAATACTTAAACACTTCCAAACCATGTAATGTTTTCATGAGCGTCACAAAGTAGTGAGTGCGCTCTTTATTACGAACCATTGCAGTGACGTCACTAGGAGAGTGCAGGGGAGGGGCGTGGTATGGACCACACCGGGTTATTCCATCCGAGGGGGGTGAGCGTCGGGCCCAAGTCGATGCCACCGTCTTCCAAGCAGCGCTGAGTTTTCCAATGCACAGGGAGCCAAATGTTGCCAGGAGGAGGGGAAGGTGAGGAGTGGGGAGGTCACGGAGGGGGCTGGGTGCATGCTAACTCGGGGAAGGAGCCTGTGGGGAGTGGTGGGAAGCCCTGCCTGCTCCTCCCTGTCCCAGGTGGAGGGAATGGGTGATCAGTTTCATCTGCATGTGCTATAAGCATCCGCTGTTTTCATTGCTGAGGGATGGGGTGTGGAGGTTGACACCATGAGCTACTGCACTGGGTGACACCAACTTCAGTGATACCAGTGAACCATTGTGTATATTTAACTCAAAATTTTAATAGGCTCTATGGCAATTCATTCTTAAGTACAAGGTGTCTGTAAGTCGGACATTGGTAACCTGGGGACTGCCTGTACAGCAGAATTTGAGTACCTGCTTTTGCCTGTGACTTTTCTAGCCACATGAGGTGTTCCCTCCCATTCCTTTTCATCTCTGGCATTTAGATTAGCTGCACTAAAAAAGATGGGCATTTAGTCATCTTCAGGACCTGAAATTTCCAGCCCCTGGTGCTGAGATGCACACCCAATCCAGTGCTACTTAACAGCCAACTCTGTGGAATGCTATAGTGTTAGAGCAGGGCCCCACAGCCTGGGAGGAATACTGGAGGTCCTGGTGGAGGGGGGCCTGTACTGGGGGGGGAGTAGGAGTGGTTAGAAGTGGATGGGGGTCATTCACTGTTGAAGCAGACATCTTGCCTGCTTGGCCCTATGTGACCTTGGAGAAAAGTGAACATGTTAGGGCAACTACTACTATGTCATCAAATATCTTCATCTCGGCCCAGTGGGGTCCTTTTTGGAAGTGATTTGTTCTGCCATAAGGGAAAAGAGTTCATATGCAAATGTTTATGTTACCAGCCCTCAAATTGCTTTTGGGGTAGGGGTAATGGCTTTTGGGTACCCAGAAGAATGAAAGAAGTCCATATTATTCCATTTCATCTTCAATACAGAATAATAATTCCTGCTCTGACGCTGGTGGCATAGCATTTAAGAGTTCAGCTGTTAACCAAGAGGTCAGCAGTTGGAATCCACCAGGCGCTCCATAGAAACCCTATGGGGCAGTTCTACTCTGTCCTACAGGGTCGCTATGAGTCGGAATCAACTTGATGGCAATGGGTATGGGCTCTGATGCTAACTGAATCATAGGCAGGTTGCCTGTCTGTCCTGTATTTTGAAGAAAATGTTACTTAAACAGCACAGTTCCTGCACATAGATGCTGTGCCTATAGGAATTGCTGGTTTACAAAGATTACAAAAGATTAATATACATAACTCATCAAGAAATTAGGAAGGAAATTAATCAAAATGCAGAACATGCAATAGAGGAAATTAGAAGAGCATAATGACAAATTTAACAGGCTGCAAGAATCCATAGAGATAACAGCAATCAGAAATCCAGAAGATTAACAATAAAATTTCAGAATTAGACAACTCAGTAGAAGTCCTAGCAGAATGGAGGCAACGGAAGTCAGAATTAGTGAGATTGAAGAGAAAGCACTTGCCACCAATTTATTTGAGGAAAAATCCGATAAAAGGATTAAAAAAAAAAAAAA